TGAATCTCCAGCTCCATTTCCATCTCCACCTCTAAGTCCAATTGCGGAACACATCTCCTGTTGGCCAGGACAGGGCCAGGACTGAAGCCTGGAGGAGGATGCCCACAGCATTTGGTGACTTTTGCCGTTGGCCGGAAGTGATACCGAGGCAAAGGAAGTAGTTAACCGACCAAAAGTGAGAGTTGTGGATAATGGAGGCACCACAGACCATAGGATCCAGTGCAGGATGTAGGCTCCAACAGCTCCAGCAGCTCCATGCGCTCCTTCTTCTAATGGCAGCAAATCATTTACAGATGTCGCAACATTTTGCATAAAAATTTCCTGAAACAGACAACAGAAGAGCCGACCGTTAGACGCTGCTAGTAGCACCACCTGGTTGGAAAATCGGGGAAAGTGCACCACCCAAACCATACACCGTTATTGACCTTAAACGCTTTTCCAAGCAGGAAATGCATTTTCATTTAGCAGCGGAAGTAGCTGCAAATGAGCTTTTAGTTTTTGCTCACCTTCGCTCCTGGCGGCGTGCATCTCGTGCATCCGCATTTCCGGTCCATCGTCCACCTGATCATCCTGCTTTGGATTCATATGGCTCTCCTCCCACTTGCACTCCATCCACATCCTCATCCACCTGTTGCTGGAGCTGCTCAAGCATTAGCATTAGCGGCCAGTCAATGGCCCATCGATGTCCTGGTTATGGGTGCGGGTTTCGGTTTGGGTTTGGGCTTGGTCTCGGTCCAGCGCCTCTCTCTCTGCGGAAATATGCGTCTGCCACACGTCCGCCAGATGCCGCCATGTGTGCGTAAGTGGAGTGCACTGAAAGAAATGGAAATTAACTTTACCTAAGTACTGATATGGTTTTTAAGGGCTAATCAAGTGAGGTTTTTGGACTTCTTGTAAGGTTTTCTGGCGAAAGTTTGTAAGTAAGGCCCAATATTAACTTAGTAATATATTTCTTTCAGTGCACAGATAATCCTAGCGAGCTAATGGAATGCCCAACAACAAACTTCATGGGAGATTGTGCGTAGGTGAAATTTGTTTTTAATCGCGTTAGCCGCCACTTGGAATTAGTTTGGTCTGCAGTTTCATTAGCGGGCGAAAAACCCACATCAGTTCTCAGATCGTGGTTGCATTTCCCTATTAAGAGGTCAACACTCACTTGAGGTCACCGCACAAGATTCGCATGGTTATGACATTAGGAAAAGCCATAAAGATTGCTCGAGAAGATTAGTTGCGATGCAGGAAATGTTCATCTGATTTGAAATGATAAAAGTTAGTATTGTTTAAGCTTGTAAGCTCATTTTTTTAAACCTAAAACTAACACAAATGTATCCCTCTAAACACATTAAACTAAATCATTGATGGGAGATGAGAACCTCTGTAAATTAACCGCACTAAATAAACGCCAACTGATTGGCCTTTTTGATCCCGTTCTCCCCCTTTTTAGCCCCCCACCAACCTCATTGTCCTTTTCAGGCAAAAGCGATTTACAAATGGCCATTGCGAGTAAATATGTCAAGTGCAGGCGGTCGACCCCAAAATGAAAAAAAGATGAAAATAAAAACTGAAACACTCGCCTCTCCTCTCGCCTCTTGTCTCTCGGAAAAGGCCACAAAAATGTTTTGGCCCTTTCGGTGCCTGCATTTCCGGTTGCACTCAGTGGCCAAACGGTTCCAGTGTAAATTGGTCAACTAAATTATGCAGCATCAGTTGCAGTTTTCAGTTTGCAGCTTGCAGTTCCAGTTGCAGTCCAAGTCCTCACTGCCTCCTCTGTGTCCTGTGGCTCATCCTTCGAAATTCTGGCCAGGTCCCAGGACAAGCCATCGACACCAGGAGCAACAGCTGAGTGAAATTTGCATTCCATAAAATTTTAAAGCTAAATAAAGTGTCGCCACCTCGGGTCATGTTGCTGCTGTGCGATGATGTTGCTGCTGCAAGTGCAACTCATGTTGCTGGTTTCTGATATTGTAACTGATAGAAATACTTTTGGGAAGTTGGGATACAGATTCGGTTATGGGTTAGTAACAGAAACTAAGGGAAGTTTGAGAGCTAATTTAGTAATATAAAAAATATTATTGAAGGGGGAAATTATAAATAAATAAGTATTAATATCAATAAATCTATTACTATACTTACTTTAAATAAACATATGTAAATTAACAAGCATTGCCATTATTAAACTGTTTATTTAATTATTGAAAAATATCTAATAAACTTCTGATGCTGTGGTAATGGTTACAAAGCTGTTAAATTTATAAAGTTAAACCAATAACTTAAGTTAATTTATCCCTAAGTTTAATAGTTATCTAATATTTACTACCCACATTCATTAATAACTTTAATTTTTATCATTTTTTAACGCAAGTTTTCAATTCCAGTTAACTTGCAATAATTTTTCGGGGTCAAATGCCCAGCCTCCTTTTCGGTGTTGGCCATATTCTCGCTGGCCAGAAACATATGTTCGCGGTCTTTATTTGGTGGTCAACTGGTTCAGTGCCGCCCACTTGCACTTGCACTTCCACTACCGCCCTTTAACCCCCTGACGCCCGCTGATGCCCACGCTTAACCCTGGCTATTTGTCACTTGCAACCGCGACGGCCATTTCCGTCGGCCAGCCGCCATATTTATGCAGTTTGGTCGCTGGTTTGTATGTAGTTATTCGCGTTTTTTTTTTTTTTGCTCTCTTTTCAAGTTTATGCAGTCGCGAAATTGCTGACAATTGATAGGCCATGGCAGTGGCAGTGGCAACGGCAGTGCCAGTGGACCAGGTTCCAGTCTTGGCCCAGACTTGGCTGGCCCTCGTTCGGTGGCCACAATTTAGCGCGCGGCGACTACCGAAAAGTTGTTGCAGCAGCAACATGGCATTACACTGAGCAGAAAGTTATTGAATTTGAGTGAGGAAATATAATTTCATAGAGAATCTCCACAGGATACTAAGAAGTAAATACCATTTAAGGTGCTTAAAAATCCTTACTTAAAATATTCATAATAAATATTATTAGTACTTAATTCTTTCAAAATATTTTAAGAAATATATAATTTTCTTAGTGGACCAACAACTTGAATGCAGATTGGCTCCGAAACTCAAGCCCGGACCCGTCTCTTGATGAATGCACAAATAATGGGGATGCATAATGCCAAACAGGAAATAAATTATGCTCATTCGGAGTCGGGGATTCGGCATTCAGTATGCTTACTGCCACCGTAGGAGGACGGCAAACTGCAAACTGAAAACTGAAAAGTGCGGACTGAAAGGCTCGGACAGCGGACGGAATCAGAAGCACAGGCAGCGTAATAACAACAATCATCATGATTATCATTAGCAGCGTCATCATTCCGATACTCCTAATCATCATTGTCAATCACAATCCAAGCACTAGTTAGCACAACTTTGTTTCATCTTTGGATTATTAGATAAAGATATTAGAGGAATTTTTAACTTAATGTCAGGAATGTCAGGAATACCTTTTGCTCTTTTGAAACTTCTTATTTGTCCCAAATTTAGATGAATATAGGTATTTCCTATATAGGTATTTAAAGAATCCTAAACTCTAATAATTTTCTTAAGTTTTTTAACTAATGTTTAACTTCATATTTTTTGTAAATATTTTTTACTTTCTTTAAGTTTTCTGTGGATAAAAATAAATTCTTATTAGTTTTTCTCGCTTCCATAAAATAAGTAAAACAAAATTCCCTCAACTTTGCTGGCTAGTGTAAGAGGATCATCATCGCTTTTGCCGGCTATGGACAGGATAATTTTGTTTGATTTTGATTCTGATCGAATTAGCGTAAAATTGAGCGTTCGTCAACTTTTGGGAGCGGGGTCGCGACCAGTTGCTGATCCCTGCCAGCGGGATATGTTGAAGTCGACTCTGAGTTGGAGTCAGAGTCGGAGTCGGAACGTGGGCTCATTGACAAAGTCGGAGTTCAGATCTTCAGATGGCGCAGGCCGCGTGCGGGGCATTAAAGAGGCGTGGAAATCAAGACCCTCCAATGATTTGCATTCGCTGATGCACTGCCAAAAATTCTGATTTATTTTTGGTTTTTGATTTGTAAAAATATTTTCTACCCATTATATGAAGTTTTTCATGTACGATATACCTAGAAGAAAATGACATTCTTATTTTTAGAATTTCATAAAATTAATATTATTACTTACTTATATTTTCTAAATAAAATATTGTTATTATAATCACGTTGCAGTGCCGCTTGGGTCGGCGTAATTGACCAAGTTATTTTGCGCTTGCTTGGCCCGGCTCCTTGGGGCAAATTGATTTTGCTTCGTGCCTCATCAGCAGCGACAATTGCCCTTGCGATGATCGCCACGATGATTGGGCTTCCTGGGCTTCTTGGGCTTTTCTTCGTGCGCTCACGTAGCCGCTGCCTCTGTTCCCCCTTCTCATCCATTGTATTTTCCCTTCTTCAAGACCCTGACCCCCCGTTGACATCCTGGTCCGCCGCCTCTAGTGGCTGCTGCTGTTGTCCCTCGACCGGCTACCGATGTTTTTTGCGGTTTCACACTTTGGTTAAGGTTCCTGCCCTTCGCACTCGGACTCGCACTCGCGGTCAGTCCCCAGTCATTGGGTCACAGAGTACCTAATAATCCCCAAATAAAATCGATCTCAACTCTAATTTGTGTAGAATAACAAGACTTTACCATACTAACTGCTTTCCTACTGGATTTTTGACAGAGTTCAACAAATAAATCTTTAAATAATATAATGTAAGTTTCATAGGTATTGTCTTTGGAAATCTTAAACACTTTTGACAGATCTAAGGATACATCATTGAAAAAATATCAATAAAAAATGTCTGGAATCTATTTTTTAGGCTAAGTTAATGCTACAAAAGATAAGAGATTCAAGACGATTCACTTTAAACCAAATTTGTTTTAGTTATTTTTCTTACCAACAATTTTCTACGAACATGAAGATAATTTCATCAGGTTGTGAAACATTTTTCAGCTTGGAAGAACATTTTTTCTAATGAAAATCTCGACAGACTTTTTTCTTACAAAACGTGATATTTAATGAGCAGCTTGGGGCGGAGGGCCAAAAAAAGTTGACAATTGGTTTACTTAAACTATTACACAAAGCGGTTGAAACTTAAAGCGAATCCTAGGCGCCTATTTGATGTACTTGTCCATGAACTTTTTGTGGAAATCAGAGCGAAGGGCATCGTTAACGAAGTGTGTCTTCTTCTCGGGAGCAGAGCGGGCGCAGTTCTTGAAAACGACATCGTCATCCCAACGGCGCTTGATCTTTAGGTCGCCGCCAAGACCAGAGGCACGTCCCGCGGCCGATGCGGCGGTTCCAGGTTCGTAGTTGATCAATGGATTACCCGAGAGGATGTTCTCCATGCGGATGCGCTCGTCCTCCTGCTTCTTTTCCGACTCCCGACGAGCTGTCTCCTGCAGACGCTCCTGCTTGATCTTCTGAAGCTCGGCCAGCAGAGCGGCATCATCATCATCTGAATCGCTGTCCGAATCGGAACTGTCGTTGTCCAATGGCTCATCGGCGTCCAGATTGGCGGCCTGCTGCTGCTGCAACAGTTGCTGCTGTGCGGTGTCTGGCTTGGCGCGCTTTCCGACACTTCCGCCACCACTTGCGCCTGCATTGTTGGCCTCAATAGCCTTGCGCACAATGGAGGGCAGCGCTTTGCCAGAAGAGGTGGCTCCAGATCCGGAACGAGCTTCTCGCTCGCGTTCCTCCAACTCCTTGCGAAAGTCACGGTTGCGGATCTCCTCGCTGGTGCCCTGGCCAGCCTCCCTGTAATACAACATATACCGATTAAGATATCGTTAGCCAGAATATCCAAACTATTTTATATTACCTGTATTTCAGCTTGGTATGGCCTGGTAAATCGCGGCTGGAATATTGTTTGCTCAGCGCGCTTAGGTCCTTTTCACCGCGACCAGAGCCTCCACGGGCAGGATCGAATGTTGGTCGCGCAGCTGTAGTCATTTTAATTTAGCTAATTCTCAGATAAACAGTAAAATTCAATATAAAAAGATCTCTTAATTGCGTGTTTTTGGCTTGTTGTATCAGTGTGGCCGTAGGTTCATCATAATTAAAATACACACGCATATGGGGTATTCTTTGATTTTTACTTGACATCGGATATATAACATCCTGTTTAATTTTAGTCTAACATGCTTCGTTGTTTTAGTGACTGCATTGTTCTTTGTGCTTTAAAAACACTTTTTTTATTATATATGGCGTGGAAGCAAGAAAATGGAAATCGAAAATTTAACAGCATACACACGACTAAAATTTTTACAAATTAAGAGGTTTGAAACTTCGATATATAGATAGTAGCGGTTGCACGCATGTTAACCTCCATCTAATAGACAGCACTGCCTAAACAGCTGTTCGCATGGGTAGCATTGTTCTGGTAAACACGCGCGGACCGCCGCCGTTTTAGCCAAATAAATCCCAACAAGTTACTCCTTTCCGGAGCTCAAGCTCAATTTTGTGTTAGCCTACTAAGCACCTAGAAGCCCTCCCAACCCGATGGCCATGCTGGCCAACCTGCAAGCACATAGCGGCCACCTGTTGCGTCACAGCCTCCGAAACGGCAGGATTTGGCGGCGAAGTTGGGCAAGCACGGCGACTGGAAAGGATGCGGAAGAGGACAGCCTGACCATCGGCGATGTCAGTGTGCGACTGCGGAAGCCCAAGGATCCCCAGCTAGTTCCGCAGCAATACGGTGAGGATGAAGCATATAGGGATCTTAGATCTCCGGGCAGTACAAAGGTCAATTATCTATTGGTTTGCCGTAAAGATCCAGTCCATTTCATCATTATATCATAAGATTAGATCATCTTTGAGTGGGAAAACAGGGAGCAGATTTCTTGAGTAGTCCTTTTGTATCATTTATTGGTCTGAATCAGTTACCTTATCTTATCATATTTAAAGAGTGTTATATCAAAAAATGGTCAGAGTTCTTGTAAATAGAGACACTATAATCTCCAATGGAGAAAAAATATGGGATCGTAAAAGTGTTCCCCTTGAGTATTGCTTTAAGTAAAAGAATAATTAAAAAAGCAAACCTTGGAAAAAATCTCAATCCGTCAACAAAGATGCTCCCAATTTAATTTCACATTAACGAAAAGCAAAAACCGCAAAAGAGGAAAAAACAGAAAAGCAAATACAGCAAAGAGAAGTATTAACTAGATCAAAAGGAACTTTTCTGCTTATTAAAGGACACCCTAAACTCCAAGATGAAAGGACCGAACAAAAAGAAGCAGCAGGATTGGCTCAAAAATGGCCATGGAAAATTCACGCCTCTGGTGGATGAAAAGGAGTTCTTTGAGGTAACTAAAAAATCGGTTGACATTGTGTGCCTCTTCTATAACGTCGGTGACAAACGGTGCAAGATTGTGGACAGACACCTTAAGATCCTGGCCCCACAACATCCGGAGGCCAAGTTCTGCAAGGTGGAGACGAAGAAGGCACCCTTTCTAACCCAAAGACTCCTAATAAAGGAGCTGCCCACCCTTCTCCTGGTGAAGGACGGCATGGTCAAGGACTTCATCATCGGATTCGCCGAACTGGGCAACACTGAAAACTTTAGCACTAAGGAGATGGAGTCTCGTATTGCTCTTTCGGAGACCATCCAGTGCCAGGAAAATCAGAAGAATCCTGCGAATGTGGCAAATGGGATTGCCAAAACTACTACCAAACGCGCAAAGAAGACAAAACGTGTTGGTTAACCTCGAAATATATACTTTAGTAATTTCGGCAGCTTTTGTACAGATTATTTGATGTTATATTGGATCTATGAACTCAAAAACTGCAAACCCAAATTATCGTCAAAATCAATCTGCATAAGTTAATTATATTTCTACAAATTCTTCCTGGGGGAAAAATGAGATGCAGCTCACAAGACAAACTAAAACATTCGGCACGCTTACTTTCACAAATGAAACACCTATGTTAATATATTTGATTGTGTTTTCTTCAAACTATCAAGGATAGATCTATTAAATTTTATGTTCAATATAAATGTTTTTATTTTATGCATTAACTTCACTTTCAAGAGTTGTAAGTTCTATATAGGAGAAATTACTTAAAGGATTTAAAATAAGATCACTTACTAAAACTATCTCCAAATTCTAATAAATACTCTTTATCTCTATCCAAATCCTCAGTGAAATACGCTCCAGATGGCACCCTCCAGCTATCTCAGTCTGCCCTTCACCACCTCCGCTGGATGCTGCAAAAGGATGCCCTGCGGCAGGATATGTTCTTACTAGGACAGCCGGGTCCTCTGCGTCGCCAGCTGGCCATGCAGTTCCTGGAGCTCACGCAACGCGAGGTGGAATACGTAGCCTTGAGCAGGGATACCACCGAAAGTGATCTAAAGCAGCGACGTGAGATTCACGACAAGGCGGCCATCTATCACGACCAGGGAGCTGTGCGAGCAGCACTAAATGGTCGTGTTCTGGTTCTGGATGGAGTAGAGCACGCGGAGCGGAATGTGCTACCCATATTAAACAATCTTCTGGAGAATAGAGAGATGCATTTGGAAAGCGGCAAGTTCCTGATGTCCCCCGAGCGTTACGACAAACTCTTAGAGGTACGATTATCTGTAGACTTATACCTATCACCCTGATTATTGATAATCTCTTTCCTCTTTTCTAGAAACACTCACGGGAACAGCTGGACGAATGGGGACTGCTGCGCGTTTCTGAGCAATTTAGAGTAGTGGCCTTGGGTCTGCCCACTCATAAGTACAAGGGCACACCACTGGATCCTCCATTGCGCTCTCGTTTCCAGTCTCGCAATGTGACTACCTACTCCTATGGCGAGCTGTACGAGGAACTGCAGCTGGAGGCTCCTTCTGTGCCCGGCGAGCAGTTAAAGCAATTGCTCACCTTTGCCTTGACCCTGCAGCAGGCCGATCCAACTCTTCAACTGCCTGATTTTCCACTCCACAACCTCCAATTGGGTGTTAAGATGCTGGTAGGTAAATGTTTTTAAGATAAGAGATGCTCAATTTCAATATGGTTTCTTTCAGGAGGCTAATCCCTCACTGAGCCTACACGATGTGATAAGTCGTATCTATCCATATCAGCCCATGTTGAAGCCTGATCAAAGGAAGCGCGTGGAGGAGCTGCTCAAGAAATTGGACGTCCAATTGATTCCCAGTCAAAGCATAAAGAAAATCGAAAGTAATCCATCAGATAACTCCCAAATCCATATCAAATTGGATGATCTGCAGCTTAATTTGCCTGGAGGCGAAACTCCACCTGCTTCCTCTAACTTTGTGGATCTCCCACATCAAAGACAAGCCCTCGCCAGTCTGCTCCAAGCCTACGCGGTCGGGGATGTGTGCCTTATAGGCGAGAAGGGTGTGGGCAAGCTAACACTGACCCATGAACTTCTCCGCCTGCTCCAGCAAACATCAGAGCCAATGATGCTGTACGAGGACATGACCAGCAGGGATATTGTCCAGCAGCGCATTACAAGTCCCCAGGGCGATACTGTATGGAGGGATTCGCCACTGGTGAGGGCTGCCAAATCTGGATCCGTGGCCGTTCTTAACGGTCTGCATCGTCTCCACAAGAGCACGGCCAGCGTTTTACAGCGGTAAGTCGGTAATGGCTTTTATACTGTCAAATATATTTCAAGATAATCTTTCATTTTAGTCTCATCCACGATCGGGAACTGCAGTTGTGTGATGGAACAACTCTTTTGGCAGCAAATCGTTACCAATCACTGCTTCAGCAAGGATTCACGGAAGAGCAGCTTGGAAAACTCGGTTTCCTGCCTATGCACGAGTCCTTCCGCGTGGTGGCTCTGGCTGAACCCCCTCGCCACGGTGGCGGACAGCCTAGTTGGCTGACACCCGAGCTTCTCAGCCTGTTTCTTTACCAGGAGCTGCGTCCGTTGCGCCAGAGCGAGGAGCAAGAACTGCTGGCTCAGCTCTGCGGTGGAGACTTACCTGCGGGAATGGAATCACTGCTGAAGCTAGCCCAACTTCTGAGGTCATCACAGGATCCTTTGCTGCAAGGACTCGCTGGTACCCTGTCCACCAGGCAATTACTCAAATTGGCCCGCCGTTTGGCTGCCTATCCGCAGAGTGAGCTGAGCGATGTCCACGAAATGCTGCAGAACACATTCCTGGCCAGATTTATGCCGGCCCTTTCAAGAAGTGCCTTAGAACAGGCCATCCAACAAGTGGGCATCAAGCCCCGGGATAGCAAGCCTAAAAGCAGGAAGAATCAGATAGCTGTAGAGGATAACTCCCTGAGGATTGGCTCCACCCGCTGGCCATTAGGCAATCCCACCCAGGCGCAACTATCCAAGGTACCCAGCACCCTGTTCTACGAGATGCCGCAACATGTTCAGCTGCTGGAGCGCCTGTTGCAGGATTACCTCATCGGCGAGCATCTCCTTCTGGTTGGTAACCAAGGAGTAGGCAAAAATAAGCTGGTGGATCGCCTGCTGGAACTAATGCAACGGCCCAGGGAGTACATCCAACTGCATCGGGACACCACCGTGCACAGCCTGACGCTTCAGGCGACGCTCAAAGATGGCCAGGTGTCGTACGAGGACAGTGCTCTGGTCCAAGCGGTTCGATCTGGTCACGTTCTGGTTGTGGATGAGGCAGATAAGGCTCCGGTAAATGTCACCTGCATCCTGCGAACTCTGGTGGAGAGCGGCGAGATGGTGCTGGCTGATGGTCGGAGAATTGTGCCACCGGGAGCCGGCGGAAGAGTTCCAAACTCTATTGAAACCCATCCCGATTTCCGTCTAATAGTATTGGCCAATCGTCCGGGCTTTCCCTTCCTGGGAAACGATTTCTTTGCCGCCCTCGGTGACGTTTTCAGCTGTCATGCCATCAGCAATCCCGATCCAGATTCGGAGATCTTCCTGCTGCAGCAATATGGTCCCAAGGTACCCATAAAAACCCTCCGCACCCTGGTTAATGCCTTCGGTGAATTGAGAACTCTTGCCGACGAGGGAATGCTAAACTATCCGTACTCCACCCGCGAAGTGGTAAGCATTGTCAAGCACTTGGAACGCTATCCGGAGGAGAACATGTCCGAGGTGGTGGGCAATGTGCTGGACTTTGATCGCTATCAACCAGAGGCTCTGCAGCAGGTAACCCAAGTGCTGGCCAAGCATGGCATAGAATCCTACGCCGAGGAGGAGATCCAGGCCATCAGGAAGCAGAAGACCTTGCAGGCATCAGTGAAACGGCACAGTGGACTGGGCGTCTCTGGACCAAAGTTTGGCAAACTGGATCCCAAGAACGAACCGCATGTTGGCGGTAACACGTGGGCGGGCGGCAGTGGTGGACGTGACACTGCTGGACTGGGTGGCAAGGGTGGACCCTTTCGCCTAGATAAAGGCCATAAGGTCCATCAGCTAAGCGACGAGGAGAAAGCCGATGTACCGGAGGAAATCAAGCGGGCGGCTCGAGAAATGAACCGCAAGGCATTCGAGGACAAGCTCAAAGAGATTAAGATGTCCGCCCACGACCACAAACTCTATGCCCAGTTCAGCGAACCCAATCGCAAGCAGGTGCAGCAGCTAAAGGCGGTCCTGGAGGCCATGCAGACAAAGAGCAAGGAGCGCCAATGGCAAAAGTACCAGACTCACGGCGATCTGGATGACACTCGACTAGTGGAGGGCATCACTGGTGAGAAGAACATCTACAGACGGCGGGCGGAGGCCAATCCCTGGGCGGATCACGTCCAGGAGAAGCCTAACCGACTTAAGCTGGTCGTGGATGTTTCGGGTTCGATGTACAGGTGAGTTTGGGGTTGATCTTTGATATTATAAAGATGTTACACATAAAAATTGATATCACTCAGGTTCAATGGCTACGATGGACGGCTGGACCGTCAATTGGAGGCCGTAGTGATGGTCATGGAGGCCTTCGAGGGCTTTGAGAAGAAGATCGTCTACGATATTATAGGTCATAGTGGAGAGGGCTGGGAGATTCCATTCGTGACCGCCGGCAGTCCGCCAAAGAACGACAAGGAACGTTTTGAGGCCATCCGGATGATGCACGCTCACTCACAGTTCTGCTGGTCCGGAGATTCCACGGTGAAGGCGGCGCGGGAGGCCTGTTCTACGCTAGGTGCGGAGCAGGACTACGACAACGCCATCGTGGTGGTCCTCAGCGATGCCAATCTGCAGCGCTACGGCATTGCTCCCAAGGATCTGGCTGTGGCTCTTAAGCGAGGCGAACCGAAGGTCAAAGGCTACGCCATATTCATTGGCAGTCTGGCCGAGGAGGCCGATGAGTAAGTACTATTCGGATTAATATATAGTTTAGGTCGAAAATGTCATATACTGTTTGGAATTTACATTTTTATTAGAGAGATGATTAACTCTTTGATTATTTTCCTCCAGAATCAATGCTGAAATGCCAGCGGGTCAGAGCTTCGTCTGCATGGACTTAACCAAGCTACCTCACATCCTGCAGCAGATCTTTACCTCGTCGCTGCTCTAGTGCAATTTTTAGATCCCAATGGATCGATTATTTTAAGTTTATGTTGAACACAGTGTTGATAATTCCAATTTTAGTTAAGCCTAAATCGAGTCTATAGATTGATTTTTGTGTAAAAACAATAAAATGTACAGCTAAACTGAGAGATTAACTATCGATCTTAACCGATTTCAAATTTCATTGCATACTTACGAGGGCAGGAAAAAGATAAAAACGTATGTTTTGCATTTTTATTTGTATTGTTTATTAATTGCCTTGCTGTTTATGCTTGCTATTTGATTACTTGTCATATAATTTACAAATTACATAAGTATTCAATACAAAAAAAAAAACAATTTAGAACTCGAGGACTTCTCTGGCAGGGGTTTCTCTCATTCTGGCGGGGGTTACGGGGAATACAAAAAAATAAACAATTCGTGGTTTTACATTAATTAAATTTGGTATAAAAATCTAAAACAATTTCTTCTCGTTTTTCTCTCGTTACATTTTACATTACACGTTTATTTCTCTCCATTTTTGTTTTGTTTTTGTCCTTTTTTTTTTTGTTGTTTGTATATGCATTTCTGTATTTATATTAAATATTGTTGCAAATTCATGAATTAATGTGTTAGCAAAAAACGCTTAAATATACGTGTGTATAATATATACTCTTGATCCGTAATATAAGGTATGCGAAACAGCTGGGCTGGGACAGCGAATAATCTGTACTAAAATCTCTGCAACTGGAAGTCTATATAATTTATATAATTTTTGAAATGCTAATTAAAAACGGAAGAAATCGAATTTGAGAGTGTCCCAGAAACTTATGTCGCACACCTTACTGCATAGTCTATACAAGTTTTGATCCTTGCAAATTCTCATGATCTATGGGACAGGGAAGAGGGTCGGATTCGGGATTGATCGGATCGCCTTACACATGTATAATTCTCTCGATCGATCGCGTGAGTGTCGTGTATATAGCTAACTTTCTTACAGATATTATCGCTATAGAAATTTGCCATTTGCATTTTGCATAAACGAAACGGGCCAAGAAATCGAACTAAAACGAAACATGCCTTTGAATTGGTCTAAGAACACACACACTTGGGGATCGGTATAAAAGCTAAGTTCACTTAAAAACATAACAACAAAGTTGGGGCCTATGTAGGCAAGCAGGCGTACGTAGTCGGTAGTTGGTAGTTGGTAGTCTCGAACCGAAGAATTATCATGCGTTATTACACTTATGTACAGGAAAATCAAAATTGATTTGAATTGGACGACATTCAAGTTACACGGGCCGAAAATCGCGGTTCCAGATTAGGGCTCTCTCTCTTACAAATTCTAGTTAAATGAGGAAAAAAAAATACATATAATTCCCATCTGGGGCGTTTAATAACCGGCGGAGGACAGTGCGTTTCGTTGCTGTAATCAGTGATTTGTGAAAGTGAAAATGCCATTTCCTTCTAATCATTATCCTGAGTAAAAAATTAAGTGGTTTGAACTTATAGAATGACTTCGAATGAAACCTTAGATTGTTGAATAAAGGAATAAGGACTATAGCTATACGGCCACGAAACGCACTATACTGGGCCAGAAAGTAAACCTTTCGCTTCACTGGTCTGCGGAATGGAGAGGAGGGAGGTAGTTCTTACAAAACGGGTTTCTATTTACAGATTATGATAGATTAGGAGCTGCTTCGCACACAACCCGTAGCAAAGATCTTCGACTCTCTGGATCCTCTAAATTCGCCAGCACGCTATATAATCTCTGTATTCTAAGCACAAATCGGTTCCTCCTCCTTCTCCCTCCCTTCTTCTTTATCTATATACACAAATGACAAAGTTCTCTGCACCTGGGCCCTGACGTAGCATATCCTATATACATTATATGGCATAAATAGATATAAATTTATAAAGACTAATGTTAAACACACACATGCAGACACAGACAGACGCACAGACAGCCACACACATACACACAAAGACGTACAAATTTTGGCGATTTTCAAGTTGATTGCAAAAGGTTTCCATATATGTGTGTACTATATGTATGTATAATAGATATAGCAGATCGGCAGGGCGAATACAATGCGTTCTTACTGTTCTATAACCATGTAACGCACTGTATTTTCCCACTTGCTCGTTTTAGTTTATCTCATATTCTCTTCAACTCCACTCTATTTTCTCGTTTTTCGATCATATATATGTATAAAAAAACGTTAAAAGTATAAATAATTTGTTTTGAAATCCGATCATGTAAAACGTCTTCCAAAGTGCATTAAAAAATAATCATAAAAACAAAGCATAAAAATTACATAATAAAATTACTTAAGATTTAGCATAGCTACAACAGCAGTGCAACTTATATACACACACATCTGGTGTAAATAGCTCTATTTAGATACACCTTTAGATGCTCTCTCAAATCATTGGGTTAAAAAAAAGTCGGTCTAGTTGTTGTTCCTAGAAAAAGGTTGAAAATTTGCGTTTGTTCTGGTTCTGATTGTGGATATTCTGGTGCGGATGTTGGTGATGCTGTTGCTGTTGATGTTGTTGCTGCTGGTGATGCTGCTGCTGGTGATGATGTTGTTGGTGGTGCTGATGGCTATTGGTTCCTATTCCATTGCCTATCGGTTTCAAGGGTAGGACAGGAACGCAGGCATAAGCAGCCGGCTCTAGTTGGGCATTGTAAAACTGCCCATGCGGCTGTGGAGCGGCGATGGCAACTGGAGCAACTGCAGCAGCTGGAGCAGCGACTGCTGTCCCCGGAGCTTGGCTGGCGGGTGGCATCAGGAGCACGGGCACCACCACGGGTTATACGGAGATCTCGTAGTTCATGTCGTAGATGCTGGCTCTATCCGGAGTGCCCGAATTGGAGGCGTTGTTCTGCATCAGATGACCGCTGCCACCGCCACCGCCTGCCTGTTGATTGTTACCCACTGATCCGCTGCCGGGGATTCCACCGTTCTGCTGCTGTTCCAGCGACTGCATCTCCATGGAGTCGGTCATCTCCAGGGCACGCACAAAGCTCATCGGGCGCGTAGGCGTCTGCTTTCTCTTAATCTGTGGCGAGGGCTGCGTCTGCAAATTGCCCCCGCCTGCATTTCCCAATGGATTGGGTGGAAATACAGCAACTCCACCGCGTAGGGCCGGCTGATAGCCACCGCCTACGGTGGCAGGATTACTGGCCGTCACGCTGGCCAAACTGCCACTGCTGCCGGCTGCACCAGCCGCTCCTCCTCCTCCATAGCGCAGAATATAGTTCTGGCCAGCTCCGGACACTTGTGGCATTGTGGTGGGACTCGTCGGATTGGAGCGATGATATGATGCCGCTGCCGCTGCCGCCGCCTGTTGTTGTTGTTGCTGCTGCTGCTGCTGGATAGCATAATCCTGGAGTCGCGAGTGCGTCATGATTAGCGGATGGGCTCCTCCGCCCGCCGTCATGTACTGGGCGTGCGGCATCACTCCAGCGGATGCTCCACTGCTGGCCAGCGTGCCCGCACTACTGCCAATCCCACTGCTGACTACCTGCTGTGCCTGCTGCTGCTGTTGTCCAGCGGAGCTTGTGAATCCCGGGGACGTGTCCTTCCACATATAAACACCGCGCTGCGGACTGCCGGCCAGTTCTCGTATGTTATCCACCGTGTTGTTGGACCTCGCGTAGGACAGCTCGCCGCCAGCCACACCACCTCCGGCACCCTGGCGCACCAGTTCGCCCTCGGAGAGGAAACGCCTCTGTGGACTACCGCCGTAGGCCGCCTGCGCTAGAGCGGCATGCTGCGGATGCGCCGCATGAACCGCCGCCTGCTGCTGTTGCAGAGCTGTAGAATAAGAAGTATTAGAATAAGGATCACTTTTTGCCAGCTGAATTTCCTCAATCCAAGGACTGGAGACACTCACCTTGCTGCTGTTGTTGGTGCTGCATGAGGACGCGCTGCTGCTGGAGAAGCAGTTGCTGCTGCTGCTGCTGGATGCTGGGCGCCTGTGGATGCTGAGGCGGCAGACCGGTGGTGTACTCGTAATAGGCCGCTGCTGCTGCCGCCGCCGCTGCCTGTTGTTGTTGCTGCTGCTGCTGCGCCACCGCCTGAGCGTTCAGTCCGATGAAATCGGGGCGTCTGGGCTGAGTAGGCGTGCCTGGGTTAGATCTGTTGGATGTACACACAAGTCGGGAATTAGTTAAAGACGAGTTAAGCTTAACAAACACATTCGTAGTATAAAGCATGCTGAGAGAGCGAGAACAAAAGCTGCTGCAGAGTTAACGCCTGGATGTTAGAACTTAACTGCTCGGTTAACTGACGGTTAGAAAAACGATAGCGATCGATGAGCGAGAGACAGAGATATAGTGTTTGTTCTGATCCGATCTGATGTGAGTGAGATTATGGCCTTAAGACAGGGGTTAAAGCGACAAATTGGTGTCGAGATCGTTTAGTAACAGAGGACAGTTAACGACACACAAAAATGCTTGCAGACTGTACCGATTAACTAACTTGCAGTTAAAATCAATGAGTTTAGTAATAGGTAAAGCTAAATGAACATTTTTTTATTGTCCACCTTAACCTTTTTCAACAACAATCCGACGTCAAGAAAATACATTTACCACTTAGTTTAAAATTTACAATAATAAAAAAGTTAAGTGTTAAAAATCAGTTAATATAACGCAAATCGATGACCCAAATTTGTAGTTTTTTTTATTAATAAACTACCAACACATGAACAACTAGGATTAACTAGGATGGTGGATGTGGGATCGACTTAGATCTCTGGCATGAGAACCTTCGGAGCTGGCTTTCCTTAGTACTTCTTATAGCATCTCTGGCTTCTGGCGTCCGCGGAAAGCTCCTCCGCCACCGGCCAGTCCCATGGTTATGGTGCCCAGCAGCCCACTGTTCGCCACCCGCTGGACAAACACAACCACTGTGCGCGGCACATCCGATCGCACCACCTGCACCACCAGATGCAGCATGTTGACCACACAGTAGAGCAGTCCGCAGAGGAGAATCAGTGGTGCTAGCACTAGTTTGGTTTGCACCGAATACCGGCTGGTGTCCTCCATGTCGAAGAACTCCCACAGATTGGCATTGCCTAAGAAACGTTTACGTAGACCCACCGCCTGGTTTTTCAGCCAGCTAAAGTACCAGCAAAGAAAGAAAAGGGCATGGGAGACCACGCAGCCGAGCACCAAACCGGTAAGCGTGATGTAATCCATCTTGGAGATCACTCCGTCGCCCGTCGTCGGTTGAATCAGTTCGCTTCCATAGGCCCTCAGCAGGGATTGGGCCAACATCCAGCTCTGCTGAGAGGTTAGGCCACTGGTCTGATCCTCGGAGCACTTACTGCTGTCCTCCAGCTGAATCGATTTGCGCTTGCGATGCGACTTCTTTTCCCGCTTGAACAGTTCTCGATCTTGTTTTTTCTCTGGAGGATCTTCATGCTCTTCTTCCTTGTTTTGCCAATCAGTTGAGATGGAAATGTTGAAGTTAGATTTCTCATCTGTAGGTTTTACCTTGGAAAAGTCCAACTCTGGTCTCCTGGACATCCGCACGCCTCCGTTCATCAGCGAGGCTCTGTCGCCCAAAGTCACCCGCTTGGGCTGGACTCCCTTTTGCTCCGGCCGCGAGGCACCACCATCTCCGCCAGCGGATTCAATTTTTGATTTGGCCACAGAGTGACTGGAGACACCAGTCCCCATTCTCTCCTGGGAGCCACCACCTCCCCCACCTGCCCTCAGCCTCGAAAGCTGCCTCTGCGGCGGCGGAGGCAATGGTAGCAACCCACTCATCTCGTACTGCAGCCCATTGAAACTGAATTGCCGGCGAGCGCGTAACTGCGGTGCAGTGGCCACCGAAATGGGCAGTGTTTTGTCCACCAAATTCAATTGCTTCTGATACTTCAAATCCTGCCGTTGTCCTTTGCTCATGGTGGCTTCTTTTTGTGGTCTTCTGTCAACACTAGGAATTTAGAGATGGCTCGTTCTTCCTCCTTTTGAGTAAGTTTATTCCCCTTGATTTATTCGAAATATACCTCCAAACTTCCCAGATTTCTTAGAATTTCCTTCGATTATTATAGATATCTCATTCGATCTCCTGCTTTTCCTGTGACTCCGCTAATATCTATCACTTCTTGGTTGAAACTTACGAGAAACAAGGTTAGAGAGCCGAATGCCAAAAGAGAAGAAAAGGTATACAACAATTTTTCTGGATTTTGTCCCGTTTTTGAATGTGTTCTGGAGAGCTCGATTCTGAGTTCCGTCCTAGGTGTACTATACCCTGTGTATCTGGCTGTCTTTTTGACAATGCCAGTTGGGCGGCAGCAACGATCACTTGGATCACATTTAACTATAAAAAAAAAATAATTCTAGATTTTCCTTAATTCTAGACTCACCTAACAAATGATACGTTTTAAGTAAAAGCCTCATATTAAGTTAACATTTTTGAAAGCCTTTTCTTATACCTTTCTTTTTTGTAAGAACTTCATTTTATCTTACCAATGAAGTTATGTTAGTTTTTCGAGTTAAAAACAGATGAGAACCCTACATTAACATCATAGTAGGTTAGGGGTTACTTAAAAAAAATTATAGATCCTGCACCAGAGAAGAATCTCTTCTTTAATATAAAAGGCACTTAGCCAAAAAACCACAAAGATGAGAGAATGTCGAGGAATGGAACATGGTCGGATGGAATTGGAGAACCTGAACCGCGGGTTAAATGCGAATGTGAGGGGGTGAGAAGGTATTAAAGGCAGACGCAAAACAAAAACGGCAACCAAAATGAACGGAAACGGAAACAAAAACGGTAAGAACGAAAGAATGAAAGCGAAAACGAAAACGGAACGAAACGAAAGAAAGAAAGTAAAACTCACCTCGCGCGGCAGAAAGAAAGTAGAAGTAGGTGCTTAGTAGAAGGTCTACGGAATACGATTATTCGGTTTGCGATTCAGTTTACAGTTCGATTAACGGTTTACAGGGTGCTCTTGCTTAGTGGTTCGCGAGTGGTTCAAGTTCAAGTGGTTGCCAGTGGATCAGTGGTTCGGGTGAAGGTTGAAAAGAGAACGAAGAACGAGCGGAAGAAAGATACGACGGCGACAACGAAGGTTCGAAACGGTTCCGGTTTTCGGTTCAGTTAACATTTTGTTTGCTCCCCATCTGCATTTCGATATCATTTGATCCTGTTTTTCGGGCTTAACTTAGACATTATTTCGTACTCTTTAACATTATTTATTCTTCTCTTTTAATAAACTTATAAGGTATTCGTATGATTTAGTTTTGTTTCTTGGGTTCTTTCTGTTGTTTCTTGTTGGACTTCTTTGTTTTGGTTTTTCTTTAAGCTAAGCCTAGGAATTAGTACTGTTCTCAGAATTTGAGTATTGACTACAGCGACCAAATCAACACAGATCACACGGAAATCAAGGAAAAGAAAAAGGGGGAAAAAATAATTAATTAGTTTTTAAGATGGGTGTAAAAAGGAGCCGAGAGCGAAATGAGTGGCAAAAACAATCAAATGGATGAGAGGGGGAGGCAAAAGTGCAACATATATATATGGGGTTTATAATTATATAGAAGCGGGGTTATCGACCCACAGGGCATCTCTTTCCTTTTCGTGTTCTATGTCTATCCCGTTTCTTTCTACTTATCAAGCGGTAAGTGCGAAAGGGAGAACGATAACGTGGAGTTTCCCTTTCTTATGGAATCTTACAAATCCCAGGGCATTTACACATATATATATATATATATACATATATATATTTATTAGATTTTATCATAAACTTAGTGCTTGTCCTTTCCTATCTCACGCCTACAGGAAAATTACGCAAGGCGGCGAGGTAGCAAAGCAAATAAACAAACAAACTAACGGTAAAGCCAAAGCTCAAGGTGTGGGCTCATCAAAAACAAGTCAACTGAGCAAGCACTAAACACACAGTCGCGAAAATTCGCGCATACACACACACACGCACACTCAGAGATCACACTTAACCCTTTAGAGCCCTTTAATTTGCAATACTTAAGATTAAGGTTTCATCGATAATTACAAATAGGAAAAGGAAAATGAATTTGAAACTAGCTTAGTGAGTTTTCTAACTGTGGAAATTTGTGTTTTAAAAGTGAAATTTATGAATACAATTAACTTTAATTTTGTAGCATAGCTTAAGGCAAAAATAAATAATAATAAAAAAATAATAAAATTAAACATTTGGGAAATCTTGATCAAGAACATAAATCTTATAAAATAAGCATTAAAAACTATAATTCGATTTTCCATTATGACTTGATCTACTTAGCTATCTTGTTCTAAAAACAAAGTTGGCTTGAGAGGGTTAAGCTATAGAAGCGGCAACAACAAGAGCAAAAACAACAACGACAACAGCGAGGGGGCGGGTCAAATTGGGTGGTCAACTTGGGGACCGTGAAAATATATATGGCACAGGAAATGGGGAGCTGTAGGCGCACTCACCTTCGCACTGGACTCGCCATCACGAGGGGCGTAGCCACGCCCAGCGGCTTGATCCGCTGCTGCATTGTGGGCGTGGCCGTGGTCGTCGCGCTGCGTTGATTTTGTGCTGCCACCGCCGCCGCTGCTGCTGCCGCCGCCAGTGCCTGCTGTTGCTGCTGCTGCGGCCCATTGACACCGACGCCGACGCCATAGCCAACGGGATGGTCCGGCGATAGGGCGTCACTCGTATAGCCCCGCTGTGGATCCAGGCCCCTGGGAACATACGACAGGCAATGGTAAAAAAAACAAATATCCTTTGATATGCAATGTGTATTTAAGGACTTTAAAAAAATCTACGATAAACTATACTCAGGAGTTTAAAGAGAGAAAAGTAATAGGAACTAGGAAAGGCTATAACGTATTGGCTAGATATCAGGAATTTGTAAGCCCATATATATACATAAGTATAAACACGATATCGAGTGGATATTTAGGGCACCTCGTTATAGGGCAATCAATTAACTCTGTCTTTGAATAATGTATGAATATTTGTTCCCGGAAATCGAGAAAATGCGTGAGCCATTCGATTCCCCCTAACAGCAAATAGCAAATAGCTGCATTAAGTGCACGACGATGGGACTGAGGCTAAGGCTAAGCAGTTAGCCATGGCTAATTAACTCACCTGGGCCTTGCGTGCGGACTGTGACGCGGATGATAGAGACGCATGTGGCGCGGTGAATCCCCGCCGCCTCCTCCTCCACCGCCGCCTGTGGATACGCTGCCATTCAGACCGCCAGTGTCGCTCACCTGCGGCAGGTAGAAACTGGTTGAATTATGCCGCTGCAGTGGCGGCGTCGGTTCGCAGTCCTGACTTTGGGAGGCAGGCGGTGGCTCCAAGTCGGTGTCGGAGCACTCTCGTCCAGGTGAAAGCTGCGATATCGAAAATCAAAGGATTAGTTATCATTTGCCAAGGATTTGAGGAACAGGCGAAAAAGAGATGAGATTGACACAGACTTATGCCTACATTTAGTTGCGATCATTTCCAAAAATAACGAAAAAAAATAAAATAAAAAAACACACACGAGGATGGAAAATAGAGAAAAACTGGACGGGTTAAAGTTTCATTTTCACACATTCGAATAGGTTTTGATTAGGAAAAATTCAATGAGTTTCAGGAGTTAAACACGCATAAATCACATTTAATACAAATTCACACAAAACTGTGATCTTTAGGGATGGTAATTAACTTTAGAGCTGCCACAAAATATATTATATTAGTTAAGAGGGATTTGAAGTCTTTAATGATTAAGAAACCTTCTCTTGAAGAGAGAGGTTCATAGCTTCAAGGGCTTTACAATCTTTAAAGATTTTAAAGTCCAAGAGTCAATCTATAGAAACCAAATCAAAAGACTTCAAATCGCTCTAAACATAAAGATATATTCCGTGGCTGCTCGGAAATGTTTTTTTTTTTAGATTCGAAATAGTAATAAATCCTGTGAAAATGAAAACCGTAACGGAAAAAGACAGAAATAAAGGAAAATGAAACAGAAATATGAACACAAAGTAAGAAAACTGACGAGGTTTTTCGGGTTGGGGGAAGGATGATAGTGGACAGTGTAGTTTGGTGGAGTGGGTGGGGTGCCTCCTCCTTCTGGCCCCCTCGCTCCCAGCTAATTAATTGTAGTTAAACGCATACTGTGATGTCCTAAAGTGGAAAGTCCAAACTGGAAATACTTTCCGCAAAGAGTAATTAACTTCAGAATCAAGAGTCAGCAAGAAAAAGTGTGGAAAAGTCACAGATGAGAGAGAGAGAGAGAGAGAGAGAGAGGGAGGAAAACTCGAAAAAGCACTGCGTAATGACATAAGTTTCCAAAACAATAAGATAAACGGAATGAAAGGATTATAATCCCAGTGAAAACTGTTGAAGTTTGTGCCCCAATTAAATTTTCTTGTGGTAGCCCTAAAGCAATGGAAAATTGTTGAAAATACAAAAACTGAAGTTTTCTTTTCTTGTTGCAAAAGTGATAATCCAATCATAGCAAAATAAATACTTTTTGAATTCCAAACTGATCTGATAAAACATACTAATCAAAGATATATCCCAATTATTCGAATTAGTTTGTGTGAAAGAGAGTTGGAGAGAAAGGGAAAACTGGACAGATAAAGAGACAATCAAAGAAAGAAAGATAGATAGAGGTGAAAGTAAAAAGGTTTTGGCCAGAAAGGAAATCATAATATGAGTATAAATTTAAATCAATGATTTTCCGGGGCAAGTCAAAGTCAATCAATCGATCAATTGATTAATAAAATATCCATAAATTAAAAATTAAATTTTTAAGTTTTAATTTTTGTTTTTTTTTTGGTTTTTAATAACTTTTACCTTTCTCGGTGCTTGCAGTAAGTGTAGTTTTTGGTTTTGTTTTCTTAAATCTTTTGCTGGTTTATTTGGAGATGCGACCAATTCTTTTCGATATAAGTATGTATGCTATATACTTCTATATATATATACTGATATAACGACAGCTCTGGGCGGCATATACAAATGATATATATACGCAGTAACGGAAACGGAAGGGGGGTTAAGGTGCCCAGCAAAGTGAAAAACGAGTCAACAAAATAGTTAAATAGGAAAATAGGGAAATGCAGCGCAAATAATAGCGGGAAATGCAGCAAACTTATAAACGCCAACTCAATAAATCCAACCGCATGCATGCAAAGAGTGGGGAGGTGGGTGGGGGTAATGTTCTTAAAGCCAAGATAATTTTTTTTATGAAATAAGAAAAATATAAAGTAAAGGAAAATCTAGCAGAGAAATGAAAACACCGCTCCGGTAAGTCCGAAGTTTCTGATTTTAAATTGAAAATTACTAAGCCTTCCACTTTTCCCAGTTTCCCAGCTTCCCAGTTGATTGCATTGTGAAAACTTAATCTGCAGCAAAGTGATTTTTAATTGGTTTTTTTGTTAGGATTTGAGGGTCAACAAGGGGGACTTTTCACTGGTTGCTTTTCTAACGGTTTATAATTTTCTGCACAGATAGATTTAGGGTTTATTTAAGTTTTTGTCGGGATTATTGTTGATTGGAAATTCCTTAGTTTTTCCAAGTTGATTGGTTTTATGTTGCAGTTGTAAAAATAAAAGTACAATTATATAAAAAGTTCTTTGATTTAAAAAGGTTAACAGACGGACTTCAAGTTGATTTAAGAGGAATTTGTTTTAATTTAATATTTTTATTTTTAATTCAAAACAAAACTAAACAAAGCAATATCTATTGATTGTCTTAAAGCTGATTTCAGTTTTATACATTCATTAAAAAAAACAAAAATATATACAAGGACACAGCTATATTTCATCATATATTCCGAGTGTCTGTCCGGCAGAGCTTTCACTGTATTTTTCATGAGATGTCAAGGGCAGTGGAAAGCAATTACAATGGAGAGGGTGACAAAAACGTGGTGGGGAAATGGAAAAGTTTTGAGTGGGTGAGCGTTGCTTTCTCTAAATGGGTGTGCATCATTTGGTTTGCTTGTCCTTCAATTAAACGGGCGTGGCACTAACTAACTAACTAGCCTCCCTACCACCCACAATTTGTATTTTACTTTTTGTTTTAGTTTTTTTTTTTTTGTTTCTTTTTGCCAGGAAAAGCGAGAAAATAATAATAGTAAATGCAGCTGAAGAAGAAGAAGACGAAAAGGAAGAAGAAGAAGAAGGACATGGAAGCGGCAGCCAAAAAAGTTTTTGCAGTGCAGTGTGGGGGGGGGAGGTGGGTGTAAAGCGGGAAAATGAGATTGAAGGATGTGTGTGTATTGTGGAGCAGCAGCTGGGAAAAGCGGAAAAACTTTTATTCGCCCACGCAGCGAACGAATAAAAACAACAAGAACAACAACAGCAACAATACTTCGGAGATTCCTCCGATATACAAAGCTCTCTACAGATTTATATATATATATATATATATGAGCGGTATACATATATATGTTTATATTTATATCGATTTTGTAGTTAATTAGTCAAAGCATTAAGCGGGTGAGGGGGCGTTTTTGGGGGGGGGCGGCTATTCAAGGCGGTTATTATGGGATTACAGCAAATGATAAATCATACGAAGTGAGCAAAGGAAAAATCTAAAAGAAAATCATAACCAAGAAGTAAGAAGTAAGAAGAGCTCATGAAAATCAAATGGAAATTGTTTACATTGAGGCGAGATGAGAAATGAAAACAAAATCAAAAACATAAACATAAACAAACAACTGTTAACGGTTACAATTACAGTTAAGTAAACACAAATTACGATTACAACAACATTAACTAAGCCAAACAACAACAACAACAATAACAACAGGTGGCTTTAGCAATCGCTCGAAGAAAAACAAAGTTTACCCCTTTGATTTCTCGGTATTTAACTTTAATCAACGAACTAATTGCAATTTAAGGAAAGCAATTTTAACTTTGATTATTTCCAAACTTTAATTTAACAACAATTTAAGTAATTAGAAGTCTTCAAGAGCGCTTGCCGTTGCACCACCTCCTGTGACAGACTATGGGGGGTTATTAGATACAAATAGATATAGGATACATAGATATATGTAATAGGAATCTGAGTTTCGCATAGCAACTGCTTCGCTTTTCTCGGTGATATTGCAAAATCTTGTTGTTTACCCACCTTACTGTAAAGCGTTGTGCTGCCCGACCGTTGATTATAACCATTGCCCTCGGCCATATAAGTCTTTACCTGAATTCCCCGCTTCTCGCGACTTGCGTCGTAGAAGGAGCGTGGTGAGTACTGCACCGCAGTGCCGCGCATACCGCCCCCGCCTCCCCCGCCGCCAGCTCCACCGCCGCCGGCCGCTGCAGCTGTACCATTGCCGCCAGCCCCGCCCCCGGCGCCCGTCTGCTGGCCGCTTCGGTCGTTGCAAATGGTACTGATCGCCTGATTCTGCACCTGCGATCGCCGCGAGGCGTACTTCTTTGGATTCAGTAAGCTATAAAGATAGGAATATAGAAATTGGATTATTAATATATATAAATTAGGGGTATTAAGAGAAACTGCCTCTATATACAGGGAAAACAACCCAATATAACATTCTAAAAATGTATGAACGCTTTTTTAAGAACTATAATAACAGGTTAATAGCAATATAACCTTGTTTAACATGAAAGGACCTTTAAGAGGACATTAAATAAAAACCCCAAACACCTATACCCTTTTAAAATAATATGATAATAGTATAGAATTAATGCCATTACAAGATCTTTGTAATTATATTAAAATTATAATTATTCTATGGAATCTATGCTAACTAACCCCTGAAACCAGGGGTGCTCAAATTCATCTTACGGTACTATCTCGAATACAAGAAAGCGTGCACATATTTAGTGACGCTTTAGTGTTGGTTTGCAGCTGTGCACTGAGAGAAAAAAACGTATTATTTTTGCTAACCAATTTATTACTCATTTTACTGGCTCGCCACGTAGTCCACCACGAAATAAACTCTAAAGTGCAAACAGAAGTTATAAGGAATGAATTTCAGTGCAAGTGTTCGAGGATAATCCAGGAAAAAACAAGAACAAAATATATTACAGTCAGTAACGGAATGAGGTGGAAAGAAGAAAACGAAAAATTCTTAGTGAGATAGCAAGGAGTTCGAGGATGATCCAGGAAGAAACAAGAACAAAATATATTACAGTTAGCGACGGAATAAGGCGGAAAGAAGAAAACGAAAAGTTGTTAGTGGAATAAAGCTGCGAGCACTCAAAGCTTATGGACGAGCAAGGTCTATGCAGCGAGCATTTACAAAAACAAATGAGCACTCAGAGCATAGGCGTTGAGCAGCCCTGATCTAAAACCCATAACTCAAAGTCCCTTTATAGACTTTTTCTTAAGACTTAAATCGGAATATATTGGGAAAACCCAAAACTCTGGTTCTAACATATCATTTTCTCTGATAATGAAATTTTGTGGGAAACTGTGACACATTTCCTATATATAACAAGAATTAAAAATGACTAGCCCATCGTGAAAAGTCATTGATTTAACCATTAATTGTGAAATTTACAAAACAAAATGAGTCGGTCATGTATATATATATATAGTACTATAATTTTAGATAATGAATTTTACATTGTGGTCATTTTATATTCTCGCATTTTATGTGTCATTTGCGTTACATAACTTTACGAGCATTTTATGTGGTTTATAAAGAAAGATAGCAAAAGACTTTGAGTTTAGCTTATTAAACTTTAAGAAACTCTCAACTTCTTTATAAGAAATAAAAGAGATTTTAAAATTTAATATTATCTACTGTTTCGTAATAACATTTCCCCTATGAAAGCGTAAACTCAAGATAATTGCCCATCAAACTGTGAGTTTACAATCTACGATACTATTATTTCACTTTAGTCAAATTGCCTCCCCGAGGACATGTAATTTGAAGCCAATAATTGACAGTCCAATTTGTATATTTATTATTGTTATTTCCGCATGCCCAGTGGCACGGTGGGGCCTTCTTATGACGACCTGACTCACCTGGGATACTGAGGTCCGAACTGTGTGTAGCAGCAGTTGTGCCAGCAGCCACGCGAGAACGGATTGTAGCCGCCCTTGAACTTTCCCGTGACCTGTTCGTTGGTCGTTCGACCCCTTGACACCAGGACCATGTGGAAGCCGGTCAAACCGAAAATGGGTATGGCCAGAATGGTAACGAGGCCCATCAGGATCATGCTGTATATGGAGAGAGTTAAGGCAAACCAAAGGGTGTGGAATATATAGACCTGTCAGATCTTAGATGGGGTAAAAACTACAACCTTACTATAAGATACCCTAAAAAATCTTTAAAACGATCATAAAAAGGGAAATTAAATCTATAAGCTAAGTTTTTTCTTTGATATTTGTAAAAGGATACGCGACAATGGGCGCCGTGTCCTTGATGTTGGGCATTATCTTCAGCACATAGACCAGGCACAGCGAGAAGATGCTCAGCATGTGAATGGACAGTGAGACGAGGAAGAAGAAAAAGAATCTGTAGTTCCGCCGGCCGATGCAGTTGTTGACCCACGGACAATGATGATCGAAGGTCTAAAAGGATATAATGATGTTATAGATCGAAGATATATGTATATATATTATAGATCCAAAAACTAACCTCTATGCAGTGATTGCAGACAGAGCAGTGGGAACAGCGTGGCGGGCGGTAGAACTTACAGGTGACGCACCACTTCATCTTCACGGTGATGCCGTTGATCTCGGCATTCTTGTAGAGCGGGGCGCGCAGTTCTTCCTCGCAGTCTTCGTCGGGCGAGGCTAGAATGCAGTCAAGTTTAGGCCGTGACGACTGGCTTTGGCCCCTGCTCAGCACGCTACATACCTTTGGGGATGATGCCCGGGTCCATGAACGTGGCCAGCGTGAAGTTGGCCAGCACGAAGAATGTGATCACGCCCTGGTAGGCCAGCACCCATGGATGACTCTTTACATAGTACTGGCAGCTATAAATATATAGATTGGGAAGCAAGGTTTTTAGTATATATATACTTGGTTAAAACCGAAAACTAAATATTTAAAATCATAAAAAAAATCATAAATAAACTACACTTAAAAGCTTATATTACCAATAAGTGTATAAGCCATCCATTAATAATTAAACATTTTAAAAATTCTCAAAAACTGGTTGAATATTTGATGAAATTTGGGACGAGCTTAAAAGCCACGCAAATGGCCAAGATATTGACCCTTTTTCGAGCCGTCTAATTGCCATAAAGTTATGCGGCAACTATATGATTAGCGTTAGTCTAGTTTCAACCCTAATTAAAACCGCTTACCGAACAGGTTTAAAAGTGGTGCACACACGACCGGCTCAAAAGTGGGTAAAACAAAACCCCTTGGTTACCCCTCTTGGACCCCTTGGGCAGCCCTTACATAACGATACTATCCAGGGGCCAGCTTAATTCCACAGCCGAAGAACTGTGACGACAAATTTGATGGCTTTGCAATCAGCCTTTTTGGGGAGGCGGTTGGATGTTGATGTTGCTGTTATTGTTGGTGTTGCTTTTTCATGAAGTAGGCCGAAAATCGGTCGAAAATCCTTCGACCGCATTGTTGACCATTAAGCAAGAGGTGGCCAGGTGGCTAGGTGGCCAGGAGGCCAGAAGGACATAACGACACCAAGAGACCGGGAGAGCCCAAGGCTACGGTTAGCCAACGACGAAGCCTGCCCGTTGTGTCGCCGCAATCACTTTAGAGTCTACTGAACCGGAACTGTTTTGTCGGTTGAAACCAGCCCCCCTCTCGTATCCCTGCTCCCTGAATATCCTCAACTCTAACGACTTTCCCTGTACAGTATACGTACAACATGCCACCCCAAAGAACTCGACCCGCATCGGAATCAAAACGAACCGAAACCGAATGGAATGTGAACCGAACCTTAACCCTTTTTAACCATGGAAAAACTCTGTGAATTTCGAATATTTAAAATTGAAAATTTTGATTGGAATTCGTAATATTAGGAAATATTTAGTTTCTATGTTAAGCCTCAGCAACTGGTTCTTAACTTATGAACTTTATTTCGGATCATTGCACGTTCATATTTCATTAAAAACTAATTTCATGGCGAGTGATTTTTGAAATGAGAATTTCCTCTGTAATACATTTCTTTAAAGTTCGAATTTTATATAGTACAGGAGTTATCTTAGAAGCCATAAAATATTAATCTTTTAAAAATAAATAATAACTATTGCCGTCCTTGCAACTTCTTCACAACTTATTTTTCGAGTTTTCCAAAGTTTTGCAATAAAATCGTTTATTGGTTGCCGCGTGACAACGTGGTGCTTAAGGGGTTAAGTCAACCACAAGCCATGAATGTTGCAATGTTGCAAGGGCGATATACACGTGTCCTTTAGCCCATTTCCATTTCCGTCTGTCTTTGCCCGCTCTCCCACTTTCCCATTTGCCCGCATTCTCGCATTCCCGCTTGCCATCTCCTCGACCTCTGATGCATTTGCAATGATGTGCGGAACGGAACTTGCTGGTGGTTTCGGTTTACGGGCTTCTGTTTACGGGTTACTTAAGGTGAATGTATTACTTTCTTCCGGCATTTCTCACTGCATTACGCTGCTCTTCGCCTTCCGGCTCTCTTTTCTCGGATTGCTGAAAGCCAGACCGCCGCTGCATTCTAATGGATAAACTCATCCTTAATGCAGCCACCATCATCATTTCCCAGCTCATCATCAATCTACACATCTTCTACTCCTTTAGCCATTTTCCGCAGTGCATTTTTCTGTACAGTGGTCTTTTCTTTGAAACTCTTTAGAAATCAACACTTCCTTCTCAGGTGATAAATTGGGAAATTGTAAACAAAAGTTAGTTATGAAAAAAAATCTTCATAGATACTTTCTATTATCAATACAGTTAGTCAGCCTTCGAGATCGTAAAGTTTGAGTTTGATACTACCCTGAACCCAAGAACTTTCCTACTTTTCCCAGCGACCACTGTGCACTGTAACTCTGAAATTCTATTCCCATTATCATCATCTTCACATTTTGCCTCCCCTTGGTGCCATCAACTTCATCATCGTCGTCAGTCCTTCCTTCGCTGCATTATAATTGGCAGAATGACCTCAGACTGTCAGTTTTCCATTTCCATTTTCTTTTCTTTTTTCATTTTTCCTGACCAGCCCAGCCCAGCTCAGCCCTCTGTTGCCAGTAGTTAGTTTCTCACTGGCTCCCCGGACAAATGCCTGAAGCTGAAGGTTTTCCTTTCCTTTTCCGAGCAAGAAGAAAGCCAGTCCAAGCACAGTCCAGATTTCCAATTTTCGCTCACGGCGATTGCACACAAATGTTCACACCTCACTATCCAAATATGTATCTCTAGCTGTAGCTGTAGCTGTAGCTGTAGCTGTATCTGTAGCTGTATCTGTAACTGTATCTGTATCTCTAGATGAATCTGTAACTGAATCTGTAACCGAATCTGTGTGTAAGCTCGCTTCTGGTTTTGATTTATTTGGGCATTCTTATCGCCTTCATTCCAACGCTTACAGTTGTAGCCAAACAAAGAGCTCTATCTCATCCAGTGGCAGCATTTGCATACAATTTTTAGAATGCAAATAAAAAACCTGAACGGGGCGACTTTCAGCACGTGCCAGGGATTTATGTTAATCGCCCTGAGACAAAGAGAATAGGGAATCCACAGGGGGAGGGGTTGACGGGGACCAAAGAAGGCTGAAAAAAGAAGGAAGGAGGGGGGCAAAGTTGGAGAAACCTCAAGAATTCAACGAGCGATGCTAGAGTAATTAATTAAACTGACGTTTATTATGAACTGCAAGCCGCACTTTGTTAATTAATTCCTCGCTTATGCAGTTTAAGGAATTTCTCCCACACTTTTTTTTTTCCATTAATCTGAGGTAAAGAAGAGATGAAATTTAAACGATTTTATGCAGCTTAAGCTTTTTTCCACAGACTTTCCTGATAATTCCATTATTCCAACTTTATAGGGAAAGTCAAAGAATATCTTTCAAAAAAAGAAGAAACCTTAAACTTAGACTGCTTTTATTTATGTCTGAAAATCTAACAAATATTTATTTATTTACACCAAAGTGGCATAAACATTGCACCTGAGCAAACAAGACTTGGCTTGCACGATTCCCATTACGGCGCCGAGCAATGAAACCAAAATGGAACTATCATTTGGCCAATGCTAACGATCGGACGGAACAGTCGTTTATATATAATATATATATTTATACATATGTGCAGGAATCTGAATCTAATCGACTCGCATCGAATATCAAAATGACAGCTCACCTTCCACCTGCCAGCACCCCATCTTAATATATATATATATATATATATAGAAAATCCACCTAGCAACGTGATTGTCATAGCTAATTGAGGATGGCACCATTTTGGAGCTTTGCAAAAGGTATATAAAATCAGAGAATATATCAAATAAGGATCCATAACCCTAAGTAGTTATATAAAAGCTTAAAAACATTAAGAAATCATAAATATTCCTACGAAATTACTTAAAGTTCAGCTTGGCAGCGATCTGTTATCTCCAAACTGATGCCCGATTATAAGTCAAGTGCTTAGCTATATAATCCATATAAATATATAGGTATAGGTATAGGTATATGGCACTTGTTTGCTTTGCTTTTCAATTTAGCAAAAATGTTTGCCAAGTCCCGGGAGGGAAATCTGTTTACATTTATGCAAAGTCAGGCAGAAAAGAGGGTGGCCAAAGGCCCAGAAGAAAGAGTTGGCCCAGAAATGACAAAAAAAAAAAAAAAAAAGAGAAAGACAGAAATAAAATAAAGTAGGAAGGAGAAAAAAAAGGCTTTCTCAAGGATTTGCCACTGTCTTATGACAAATAATTCATTTCAATTTCCTGAAAGCAGGGGGTGGTGGTGGTGGTGGTGCTTAAGGGAACTAGGAACTAGGGCAAACTAGCAAATCAAATTAGTGACAAGACCGCAACAAGGACAATAAACACATATACGTTCGTGTATATACAGATATATATACTAGTAGATCCCTATATATGGTGCCTAAGGACTCCCCCTGAACAGCCACCCAGGCTACCCCCCATGCCCATACAGGATGCGGTTGACTTCAATTAATGTTTTGCGCCTTCAAATTGAAACAAATTGCCAAGGAAAACAAATAAACAGCGCTTTGCATTGATTGAAATATAATTTCAGCGAGGCGGTTGTTTGTCTAGGCTGGCACTTGTCTCTGGGGGGTGTGCTATAATGGCTTTATAAGGAAATTAATGACTGTATTGGCTTAGGATATAGCGGTATTGACTATCAATATAAAAGGTTTACTATTATAATTAAGTATCTTGATTTGCTTTAGAGGAATAATATCTTATCCAACAGCTTTCTCCTTTAAATCGCCATACCCTTGAAAAATTGCCGACCCTATCAATTTCAATTTCAGTTCCCGACTAAATTCCAGCAGAGTTGAGATATTTTATTTAATGTCCGCCCTGCCTCGACCTTCCTCCCACCAGCATTGCATCACAGTGGCATTGTCAAGGTGAAGGAATCCCAGCGGGTGGCCGGTGGACACCACCCACTGCCATCCCCTTAAAAGCTCAACCGCTGCGTTGTGGAATCACAAAAAAAAAAAAAGAAAATAGATGCCAGCAACATTTGCGTGAAGTATTTTTCAAGAGCATTTCCGGTGGGGTGGCCAGCCAAATCAAGGGGGTCAAGGGGCATCGCTGTTTCAGGGAGACACTTGCAGGAAATTGAATTCCTATGTTAAGCGGTTGCCACAAAGACAGGCGGCGGCGACGGTGGCGGTGGGGCGAGAATATTGCTGGCCCAATGGCAGAATGTCACATTCAGGCGAAATGCGACAAGTTTATGGACCTCCCCCTGCCCTATTTTCACCGTGTCATAAAGATGGAAAGTCAATTACCAAGAGGGGGAGAGAGAGAGAGAGATAGAAAGGAAAGGAGGGCGGCGAAAACACGCGCATGAGAGGTC